TTTCTCATATGTACCGCTTTTGTAAATAAAACGCAAAAAGCAAATAAACAAACTCTCCGTGCAACAAGATTTTTCAAAAGATAATTCTCCGCCAACAACTAACTGACTATTCTCAATAATATGCGAACTCCAGTAGCACATTGATCGTTTCAAATGTTCAGCACGGCATTATCAGTTGACAAACATCGAAATCGAAAGAAAAATCCATTGTAGTTAACAAGAACATTAGATTTTATTTTCTTTCGTCTTCTCTAAAAAGTCACCTTTGCATTGGGATGATTGCAAAATTATCAAAAAAGTAAATAACTAAAGTGGACAAATGATCAGCCGCTTTGAATGCACTTGACTGGAGTTATACATAAAAAATAAAGAGAAGTGCATTTGGCTCGTGACACCCTAAAAACCGGCGATACAAATTAACAACATCTTGTCCCGTCCAAAGGCAATCGAAATAAAATATTTCGAAACATAACAAAAATGAGAAACGACGAAACATGTGAAAAACGATCTCTCTCTCGTTGCAACAAAACGAATGGAAGAGAAAAAAAAATCAACAAATATGAGGCGAATTACGGAGAAAAAACATACACATATAATCCAAAAACGATGCGAGTGTGTGTAAATGAGATGCGAATGATGAATAAAGGATGTTTGTTAGAAGTGGGCAAATGTTAGTTTGTTAGCATGCACAATGCGTTAATAGCAAAGAGTCATGAAAATGCATCAAAATGTATTTATACGAAGTGCATAATTGAAAGAAAGAAAGACGAATGTGCGCACTCATGAGAAAAAAAAGTGCACCAAGCAAAAGAACGGAACATGGCCAGAATGAGATCCGAAAAAATAAGCGAGATAGAGCGAATGATGGCAGGGCAACGAAACACAAAAAAAAATTCGCGCATTTCAAGACGCACGAAAAATTGCTTCATCTGAAAATAAATAATGTAGCATACAAATTCATTGAATCCAAATGCGAATAATAATAACGAAAACCAGCAGTGAAACAAAAAGCAACAACAACGAAACGTAAACGCAACACACAACAACTGAGGTGTTTATGTACGTGTGTGAATGCGCATGTTTATATGATAAACGGAATAATAGATATTCACAACGAAAGATGAGAGGCACACGCACAATTTGTTAAATTATATAAAGCATACACATCGGAACTTGCGAGAGCATACATATTTTATCATGTACATTAATATAATCGGCAAACATACCGAGAAAAAGAGAAAGAGAGAGAGAGAGAGATTTGCTCGTTCTCTATCTCTCTGTTGATATACACAATCAAATATATACGGCGTATATTTTCTCTCTCTCGCAGTGACTCTGGTGAAAATCGGTGAGATAGTGAAAATGAGATTTGTGCGCTGCACGACACAAGAGAGCAACTGAGAGATATCGATAAATAACAACAAAATACCCGTGAGTCCGAGGAACTACATGGATGCGCGACTGTGTTCCATAATCGTGTAGTGTTTTTGCGCGCAATCTCTCTCTCTCTAACTCTCTATCTCTCATTATGCTCATGCCAATGTTCGACACAACACACAAAATCATAAATCCTTTAACTTTTTTTTCGGTACAGTGTGAGCATTGTTGTTGCCGTTGTTGTTGTTGTTAATCATCACTTGAACGGCATATAAATAGTATTGAGTGCATAAATTCGTATGTGAAAATTATACATAGAATCTCGTCGACGACAACGACAGTGACGATCGATCACCATACTTGCTAGCCTCTCTCTATATCTCTTTCCGTCACATATGTGTCTAGAATATTGCGTATACCGACAACATTACACATACGGTGTTTACTATGTTGTTTTGTCGACGTCGTTGTTGCCATCAACGATCAAACCAAACACAATTTGCTGTGTACGCAATCGAAGAATTCGCGTTATGTGAGCAACACACAAATCTGAGAATCCCAGTTTCAAGTGTCGTTTATTCTGTTTCATTTGGTATTTTGGTTTTTTTATTTTCTTCATTGAATGTGTACGTACAAAACTCATATATATCAAATCAAGCCATTGTTATTTGATTGCACAATTATGTTTGCAATGTCGTAATGCGTAAAGTGTGGTATATGACCAAAGGCCGATCTTTTGCCCTATCCGATTGATTTGTAAGCGCATTAGATTTCAACGCATACAATTTCTTACTATTTATTTTTCTGTTCGAGAGACAATCATCAACCATACCAGTAAACATGCAATGACAACAGTCGTATGGAAAAGAGTGAGATTGACCGAAGTAAAAAGAGTTATATCGAATTGGAGCACACTACAAATCGAACAGCTGCGATGGATTGAATTCTTTACTTTAAAGCATTACAAGAATCAAGCGAAAAAAAATTCAAAGCGGAATGTGTGCACTACAGAAACGACGAACTGCAACGAAGTGAGCGAGATAGAGTGAGAGTAAAAAAAAAGCGCACACACGAAGAATGTGATGCAAACTTCAAGCGTAATCGCATTTAATAACATTGTTTAATAAGTAACTGCTTAAAAAAAGAGAAACAAAATCGGAATCTGAGCATATATAGTCTATATTGCGACAATAACACAAAAAAGCGACAAAAACGCACGCCCGTCTGATAACAAAATCGTGAAATTGTCGTGTGCGCGCGCTTGCTCGATTACCCGCCCGCTCGTTTACTTCATATATATGCATTAATTGAGTGTGATCAATGACAAGAAAAAAAAACAAAACAAATGAAAAATAAATCGCTTAGATGTATAGAGATTAAAAGAAACAGATTTTGTTCGAAATGAATTTTTCTTTCGCCGTCGCCGTCTCTATGCCATTTTTTCTCGTTTGGACGGAATAAAATAGGCGAATATCTGTATGCGATAGATATGTTTTTGTTGATGCAAAATCATTCACTCTAATCAACATCAAAAATAAGAACGCAATCGCGAGTAAAAAATAAACAAATTATAAAAATGTGCGACAGTCAAACGACAATTTCATACCGTTAATCGCATTCATTTGGCGACCACAAACTTTTTTGCTTTCTTTCTTTCTCCTGCGTGCTCACTCATATGTCTGATTGCACAAGATTTTCTATTTTGCAGTTTTTCCCGTTGAATGACAAAATAAAATAACCGAGCAAAACAAGCAAAAATTAAATGTCACCCAAGCACTATAGACACACGTTCATATACCGCGCGATCGATCGATTTGTCATGTAAAAAAAATATTCTGGTTATCGCAAATGAACGCAAGAGAAAGAGAAATAGAGGCAGAGAGAGGAAAATAATAAATAAGTTAATATCAAGCAAACACACATCACACACACAGAACACAAAAACACACCACAAAAGAAAGTCCAATAAAAAAGCGCAACCGATTAAGGAAAATCTATATATTATTTTAATTAGGCCGAGTGATTGATGACAAATGAGTACACACGAAAATAGTATATCTAATCGGCTAATCAGCACAAATGGCCTCACAACTCTTGATTTTTCTCTCTTTCTCTGTCTCTCTCATTTCTCAATCGTGTTGCGTCTCTCTGGTTCACACTCAATTTGTCATCCGCGTCTGGGCAAGTGGAAATTGACATCAAATCGATTTATTTAATGTGTAATGCTGTTCATTTATTATCTCTGTGCAAAAAAAGTGCAATAAATTGATACAGGCAAACAAAGGTTGACGGTGATGTTTCTTTGAATATTTTTTTTCTTTTCGCAAAGGTTTTATGTTTGGAGCATATTTGCAATGGTGCAATGTTTTGGTTGCGCATTTTGCAGATATATTACATACGCATAAACAAATCCCATATTATTTACGATTAGAGAAGCATTTGTTTATTCGGCACTTATTCATTCGGGGAGCGCCACACCACATTCTGTCGTTCGTTTCATTCAGAGCTTTGATTTTTGTTTTGAAACATCGTCTGATATTATCTTATTTATTATTACTTGTTGTCATAATTGATTTCTCAAATGGCTTAAACACACATACACATGCACAAAATGTCTGTCTCTCTCTCTCGTTCCTTCTCACGGTCGGACACAAATTATTGGCACCAAATGACATTAGTAAATAATAACAATAACTTTTTTCTCCCGCTCATTCATTCACACACCGATCGCGTTTACGCACATCAAACATTTATCGCCTTTTTTTAGTATTTTGTTCATATTTTTATTCATCATAGTGTACAGTACTTTATTTGTTGTTGGCAAACGTTTAGGATTTCAATAAATGTGTCTTTTTATTTCGGGTCTCGAGTAATTTTTGATTCACTCCGTTTTCATTGAATTCATTTTAGATTCAATTTCTTCGTGGCATTCATTGTGTGGTTTTCTTTTGTAGTCTATAAAAGTTGCATTCTTTTGTGCAAAATCTGTGCGATGTCTGTCTATTCGATAACTTCACGAAAAAATGTAATGAACTAAAAAGAAAAAACCACAACAAAATATGTATGTAAATAATAAGCGACGGTCATTGATAAGCGAGATCGGTGTTTCGTTCGAAAAAAAAACGATCGCATTCATACACATTAGGTGCTTGAAGCAAAAAAAAGCTTAGACTCTTGATCAATCATGATAAATCTTATCAATACAAATGTAGACGTTTTTTGTTCTATTGCAAGTGACACTTTCAAAAGAGCGTTGGCCACCTACAATCATCAGGTTCATTTAAGAAAGGTGTTTGAATGAATAATAAACTAATCGTGCGATAGACAACAAGATAGATAGAACGTAAAGAAAGAAAAAGAATAACGCACCAAAAAAACTCTTGATCAAATAGCGACAATCACATACATTTGCAAACCGCAATATTATCGATGCGACAGTAAACGCACCGCAACAAATTTAAATTTCATAAACAATAATCAACATCATCATTATTGTTTGTGGTTGTTTGTTGATCTCTTTCTCAATGCACCACATTTATTATAAGGATAGATATAAATTTTTCGTTTGATTTTTATTGTTATTATTTTTTGTTTGGTTGAAGAAAATTGAAATTTGAATTTACCGATCACACGAAAAAATTACACGTTCGACGACACACAAGTGAACTTTTTTTAATGTTATTTTGTTCTTTCTTTTTTTTGCTACTTTTTTTCGAAAAAAATGTTTTTCAACTGTTTAATTTGAGTGTTGTTTTTCCTTTTGAATTGTTGTTGGTGTTCTTGTTCACGTTTTTATTTTCATTTCATGTTATATTGTACAAACAAATGATATTCATTCAAAAAAATAAACGAATAAATCACACACTAAAAACGGACACACGAAAAACGATTTTGTGTTATATTCAAGAAGGTTCATTTAATACTAAAAATCATGTTGAGCAGAGAACATCGCATACATGAGAGTAAACCGATTCGGAACATACGAATATAAAAAAACAGGCGCATATACAACAACAATGCATCAATGTTTCGTTTCGTTTATTTCTCTTTTTTCCTCCACACATATTTATGGCACACGCGCATCTCCATGTATGTGTATGTGATTGTATGCGAGTATGTGTATGTAAGCGAGTGAGCGAGTGAGCGAGCAAACAAACGAACGAATGGCTGCGATTGTATGATTCACATAGCACACAGTATCAGTTGGTTTTGGTTTCAGTTTGGTTCGAACGTGCGTATTTCGATGTGGTAGGAGCGTACGTTTCTTTTCTTTTTTCTTATATTGAATATGAAAGCGATGAGCTTGCCGAATGATTTTTTTTCTTTTTTGATGGGAAACACATTGAATTTAAGCTTTTTTACAAAATTATGAATGAAAACGGTAATTTTACAAAAACTTGTTTGAAAAAAATTCAACTGGAATAGATTTTTAAAGCGAAATTTCACCATCAATTGATTTTGCATGATCATTTAGAGGAAAGTAGAAGAAATAGTTTTGCGAGTACCAAAAAGAGCTCCCGTTTTGTGACATGTTCATTGAATATTTAATCAAATCTAAGAAAATCCAATTGCATTATGTTGATAAATAAAAGCATGTGCTATGTTTTCTGATGTTATCAATGCCAAACATATCAAAACAATGAATTATTTTCCATCCAACCTAATGCAAAGTTGGCACACATGTGTGAATGGAGCTGGTATGTATGTTGTGTATTCGGTGAATGTGTGTGCGGAAAAATCTGGGCAATAGTATTGGTTAGCCGAATCGTAAAGCCGATACTGATATAAATATATGTGCATCGTTTCGTTTCCAACGAATGAGAGCTATATGGGCTGTAAGCGCATTGTATTGGGTCGGACAGGAGAATTTGATGTATATATATATACAAAATATGTTGTATGTAGATTCAAAGCGACATAGGTTTGTTATTCAGAGAGTGAAAAAGAGAAAAGAAGCAAACAACGCATAGGAGATGTGTGTCTGGGTTTGTATCACATTGTCGAACCGAATGAAATGATTCATGTTATCTCTTTTTTCTTCGTCTTTCTGTCTATCGTTGGTTCGTTTTGTCGTTCGGCGAAACATGCACAAATGCACAGACAGGTTCAAATGCGCCACAGACAAGAACATCATCAGTTCAACGGCAACACGGTAATAGCAGGCATCGACAGCAGTGAACTTGTGAGCCAAGTTGATCGTATCGCTTGGTGTTAGTGAAATGGAGTAGTGTGCGCATGTGAAGCAATTTGGGAAGATAGAAAATAACTGCAGGATGAGTGGAAGATGCAAGGCGAACTATAACTGAACCGATCGGTGTTTATGTTGTTGTTTAAGTTGGTGCATTGCTTATTCTATCATTTATGCATGTACATGGTGTGCAATACACACCAAACACATATGCAAAGCTTATGTGTTGCATTCGTCGTGTGACCGTATGTGTATGCATTTCATTCGTATGACCGAAGAAAAATTGTTCAAGTTTTCAAGTTGAAAACAAAAACAAAAAAGAAACATTTTTTCGAGTGAATTCTTTTTTTGTTCTGTTCGGTTTTCGGGCACATCCATGCCAGTCGCACTTTCTGCCCGTTGAACGGACGAAACATTACACAATATCTAGAAATTGAATCGAACGAAATGTGTATGTTGTTTTGATTGTTGTAGTTGTTATATTTCTCCTACTGTTGCCTTTTCTGAATGATAATTGTAATGCCACTGTGTGTTTGTTATTATTCGGTGTGTTTCGGTGGTAAGTGCCACTCTGTGTCTCTATCTATCTCTATCTCTAGTCACATTCCCTAATGCCTCGCTCAAATCTAATACCTACTAAGTATTATGAGTGTGTGTGTGTGTGTATGTAGCGCATGAAGATGAGTATGAGTATCTTGTCAGGGCTTTAGTACGATTATTTCCTGTCTGCCTTTTTTGAAAAAATCTATTTTAGTTAATTTCTTCTACATATTTTCATTTTCCTTTCTATCGTTCTCTCGATCTCTGCATTTGCAATTGCCGGAATGAGTTGGTGTGAGCTGCGGTATCTGTTGTCATCGTCGCCGCCACCACCACCACTGTCTTCTTTGCTGTGTGCTGTCTTTTTTTTTTCAAATTCACGTTCGTGTGTAAATTTGCCAGAGAAAAGCAAATACGCATAAACATCTATTTGCTTTGATTTCATATAATATATAATTCTTTCTCTTTTTCATCTTCTTCAGTTATGTTCCCTTCCTTGTTCTTAGTCATCATCAGTTAGCTATGAATTTATTCAATGCATGGAACGCATTCGTATTTGCATATGATTCTCCCTTGAATTCATGTGGAATATTTTACGTTGAAATGGCGAACATGGTTTTGGAGGATTGGAACAATGGCACACGGATACATTGCACAAAGCCACAACAACAGCGACAACAGAAAACAGACAAATAGACAGACAGACCATCAATCGACAGAAACAGAAACGCATCGATCTTCACACATAAAATATGAACCATGCAAATATTATGACAAGCAAGAGACCTCTCATTTATTTGCGTGTACACATCAAACATTGTAGTGGACCACTGCTAGTGGTCGTCGTCATCGGTATGGCTGGAATGTATTTCGGTATCTTAAAGTGACCGCGCGCGTGATTTACCGGACCACGGCAGTGGTCATCATCGCATCATGAAATTCAATGATAAGATGTAACATTTCTCTCCTCTATTCTTTTGAGATTGAAAGAAAAAAATGCGTTTATTCGATGTCATTGCCTCTTTCATGTGATTCGGGACATTAATTCAAAATTCTTACTAAGACGCATCTAATTTCTATTTGGAATGATTTATGATCAAGTAATTTAATGGTTTAAGCTTCTAACAAAAAAAAATAGAATAGAAGAGAAAAGAGAAGCCGAAGGTGCTAGTTATAAAGATATTTTATCAAGTGAGAAAATGCGTCAAAACCATAAACCAAATTCTAAATTCATTCATTAAAGACGTTCGATGCACTCTAATCATCAGCATTGAAATCTCGTATACACACACAGACAGAGACTCATTCTTATATGACGTATGTGAATGCATTCAGGCACAAGACGAATGGCAAAGATGAAGAGAGAAATATATTATATATATTTCATGCGTGAAAAATGACTGACATGCAGAAGAGCTCGATGTGGCCACAAAATATGCGGAAAAAAAACAGCAACAGCAGCGACAATGACGACGAAGCACACACAGAACAGCAACGACGACAACACAACAAAATACACAAAAGATAATTTCTTCGTCGTCTTCATCGTTGTTATAGCGATTTTTAACTTAAATTTTCGCGTGTGTACATACAGAATCCACAAAGTATGCAGCATAAAAGAGTGAATCGATTGTTTTTTGTGCAAGTGTGTGTGTATGTGTGATGCAAGTGCATGCAAATATACTCACATAGTTTCATAGTGGAATTGCAGTAGCCAAGGCATCTGCAGCTTTTATTTTCAAGTCCTAGCGCGCATACGACATATATATTGGTTTATGTGAGTGCGTAAGAATTTCATGGTTTTCGAGTCGAAACGAACGAAGCAACGCACAAGAAAGAGAATGAAAATGGAGGAGATATAGCGAGAGAAGGATCGAAAGAACAAGAAATAGGTGCGCGTTCATGAACACACAAAAAAAAATATATACATTATTTCGTGATGATTGTGTGTGATGATGGCAGCGATGACAAGTAGTTTTGATCTTGTTAGCAGCATCTCGCGCGTTCACACTCTTTTGTGCACAAGCCCCGAATTGGTGTTGCTGCATTGCTGCTGCTGCTGCTGTTGTTGTTGTCGCTGCTGCCGTTGCCATTTCGTTCATATTACAGCATATTAAGGTGTGGGCACCATTATATTTTACACATATGCATGCATCATAAATTATATACAGCGTAAAAGAAATATAAAAAAGAAAACAACTTTAACTAAATTATATCAAAAATTTTTGCAAGCACGCAAATACAATGTAAATACATGTATGTTTTATCCATGGATATTATATGTCGATGTTGAAACATTTCCAACGAAAAACGTGCACATTCTCATTAGTTTCGGAGTGTATGCATAACAAACATGTTTTAGAAAAAACCATCGAAATTCGACATTTTCATGCTAAAACAAACACCGCTTTTTTCGTTATTTATCCAATTTAATAATAGAGCCATTTACTTTTCAAATATTTTCGTAAATCATTCCGAATTCTTATCGAAATTTTAGTTTTTCATAAAAAATACTCAAAGTTCACAATTTGTTGACGATTCAACTCTCTGGATGACCGTGAAATAGATAGCAAACTTCACAATTTTGGAATTTCTTCAGATTATCTCTCCGCAACATTTTTATTTTTCGAAGAAAATTTACGTCGAAAATTTAACGAAGTGGCAAATTTTAACAGTTAAGTTTGTCGGTCATCATCAATTTAAATATTTTCATTAAATTCAGTCAAATAAAAATGATAATTTTTAACTATATGCTAATGTGTGATCAAATTCATTCATTTTTTAATAAAGAAAAAAGAGCAAATCTCAGTAGCTTGACAGCGGGTATTCATAGAGATATTAAAATATCACCATCCACAATGATTGCATACGACTGAAAATTCAAATCATTTGACTAAAATGTAATCATAATAATTTTTGTTGCTTCTCAAAAAGTTTGGCTAATTTTAGATATCACATTAAAACGAATTTAACCAAGAAGTGAATAGAAAAAGAATTGTCATTATCGTTTCGCTTAGATTATTTTATATATTGTTCGG